ACAGGACGGCGGCCCCGGGCAGCCTGTCTCACCTTGGAAGCAGCGGCTTGTTCCAGGGATGTGGGCCCTGGGATCATGGGAACAGGAAGGGCTAGGAAGCCAGTGCCACCTGTCGCTTGCCTTGGGGTGCCCTCCTGGGTCATGACAGAGCACTGCTGGAGCAGGAGGTAGGGATGGGGACTGTTCCTAAGTGAGGGCCTGTTCTGGGCTCCCAGGGAGGTGGGAGCAGGGCAGCTGCTGGGATGTCCGGGCTCTGCGGTGTGGCCGGTCCATCCAGGCTGTCCTGGGACATGTCTGCATTGTAGGACTAAGACCCACAGCCTCCCAGTCTCTTCTCCCCGCCCAGGCCTGAGGCCCATGAGGTTGCCTGGGGCCTCCTATGGATATTCTGGAGGGAATCCTGCCTTGCCCCACCCCTTCCCCAGGCCCTGCCGAAGCCCTTCTGTGCCTCTCATTTCCTCAGCCCTCCCCGTCCGCTCTGCGTTGCTGGCTAACCCCTGGCCTCTCCTGGGGCCTTAGCGGTTAGTTGGCAGTTCTCCTATGCCCTCCCCTGGCCACTCACTCAGCCCAGAGTCTCTAAATCCCCTTCTCCCCGTATCTCGGCACCTCTGCAGTCTGGCGGCTTTCCAGCCAGTGCTAAGAGCCAGCACCAGTGCCTCAGCTGGTCACATGGGATGAGGCCAAGGCTCCTTATCAACCTTCAGGCTGCTGGGATCTCAGGCAGGCTGTGCGTGTGTGCCTGCGTCAGTCACCCAGCCCGTGGAGGTGCCTGTTGGGGAGGGAACCAGGGGACCACAACCGGTGGGGGGTGACATGCTGCCAGTGCACATGGCCGACTCTGGGCCAGTGGAAAGTTACTGGGTGGAGACAGGGAGTCGCCCAGTAGATACCAGGATCCTCCCTAGGCCTCTCCGTTCAGGGCTCTCTCCTCTTCCCCTAGGCTGGGGGCTCCGCTTGCCCCTGGCAAGGGTAACTAGGCATGCCATTAGTCTGTTTCCCACCCACCCCACCTTCCTTCCTCCTGACCTTCAAGAACTGCTGCAGAAGCATTTGATGTTTTGCTCCATCTCTGGTATTGGAGGAGAGAAGGAACCAAAAACCGCCAGCGGGTGGCGAGCGTGCAAGGTCCAGGCTGTTGGGGGCCTGGGTATGAGTGCACCAGCCTAAAGTAACCCGTTGTGGCAGTCCTGCAAGGCAGCACTCTGAGCTGAGGGACTCAGAGAGGTTGGTCCAGGGTCATCCAGCTGGCCAGCAGCAGATCTTGGTTCAGGCCCTTGGTCCCTCAGAGGCATCACTCGGGCCTCCCAGCCTGGGAGTTGAGGATGCAAGGGAGCCCAAAGAGGCCTTGGCACCACCCGATGTTCCATCTCCCTCCCAACCCCCCAGGTTTTGCACTCGGAGGGTTCTACCTTCCGGACACGAGGGGGCAGACATGATTTCTGGTTTCTGATTCCAAACCTTTTGCCAACAGACTCGTAGCATTAGGCAAGTGTTTCTTGCTGTTTGTGTGATTAGATTTCCCTACTTGCAGGGTGGAAGTTTACAGCCAGGAGGGGGCAGGGAGAGGCACTAGAACACGTATTTCCACTGGCTCCTCACCCAGTTGTCACGTCTCCTCCCTCCTCCGAGGCCCCTTGGGCTCCTCTCCTAATCACTGGCCTCAGCTGTGAGGGCTTACCCTGCCCCCATTGCCCTTCCACTCAGACTAGGCCTTAGTCAGGCTTCCCAGAACCCACTTGTCTAAGTCCTCCTCTTCTTGAGATAATTTATGCAGAAACCAGGGCTTGAGAAGCTTATCCAAAGCTAAGCCCCTAAAACTTGGGGGAGCGGCCAATCATAACAGGACCCACCAAGTCGGCTCCTTCCCAAAGGGGGGGCGGCCTGGCGGACGATGCTGTGGTCTCCTGCTCCAGTCCGGATTTGGGCTTGGGACACTGCTGAGCTGGCAGCAGGGCCAGAATCAAAGCCTGGGTTCCCCCCTCCATTCCAGGCAGCGAGGAGCCCCGGAACACCTGAATGGGTCTTGGAAGGAGGAAGGGTGGGGGAACAGGATTAAGAGAAACTGAAGCTGTGCAGCTGAGCTGTGGAAGAGGCGGGGAGCCTCACATTTTTAGTCTGGGTGGGGCCCAGGAAAGGCAGGTTGAATTTTATAGAGCTAGAGACAGCCAGGAATGACTCCCCGTGATGAGGTCA